GGAACCACCAACTTTTCCAGTAGCAGGCTAATGTTTAACTCACGGTGCCATCATGTCCCTAGGCTATTATATAAGTCTGTACCAAACACAGAAGGCTTTGCCTAATAATTTTCTTATTTCATCAATGTGAATTTGGAATGAATGGGAGGGCATTGTGAGGAACCACATGCACACAGTGGCATAAGGAAAACATAGTCTAAGGACAATGAGTTGCAGTCATTGCTAACTCATGATCACAGGGTTCTTAAGTGGTTTCAAGGAGGATATGCAAAGCATTCCTAGGAATATTTAACTTCTGAGTATTTCCCTGTTGCCACTATCGGTCCATTCTTGACTGCATCTAAACACTGCTCCACACTATGTCTCTCCTCCACACCCACAAAAGTATGCCTGTGACTTCATACCACAGAAAGCCTGCCTTTCAGATACTTCATACCCGGAAATCTAGCCAGGTAGAAGCTGGAAAGTGTTCTACCTTGCTCATTTCACTCCATGGAAATTAACTCCCTCACCTCTCAGCTACCCTGACATTCAAACAAGCACAAGGAGATGTAAACTTCAGAAAGGTGGAACCACTGCATAAACAACTGGAAAGCACAAGGATATTCCTTCTAAGCTGGTGTCTCTGCCCTGTGGGAACTGAGAGGCCCAGGTTAAGAGCTATAAAGAGAACCAAATAGATCTCTGAAAGCTAGAGACTACAAGGACATTTGTACCCTACACTTAGCTGCTTCCAGTTAAGTGGGACATTATAGGGAGGACATGTCCCAGGACAGGCAGAGAAAAGTCCCCCAAATTTCCCTTCACACTGTAAGGGGACCACAGTTAATGATCCTGGGTATGCTTATGTGCTGGGCTCACAGTCTTCCCCAGTCTATCTTTCAGGGTTCTGTGAGAACAAGGATTGAAGAAGGATGCTCTGCAGTCTGTGCCATATGAGAGGTATATTGACTATGGACTGTGTAATTTTGTTATTTTACGGAGTTTTCTGTTATACAATCTTCTGTCTTTTCACTTCAGTCAATTCAATTCACCATTCCACTAACCCACATACTACCCAACCACTAAATTTGTTAGCTAAGCATATATAATCCTGACTAAAAACACGTACCACCACCCCACCACCCCCAAAAAAGGAGGGCACATACCAAAATTTTTACTATATAGTATTCCTAATGTGCATTTCAGAAAACTGAAACGAGGCTAGTTTTTATGGCTAGGTTTTTAAAGTTTCCTCTTACAAAAAGGGAAAAAGAAAAGGGTTGGAGGGGGGAGTGTAAAGAGTTGTCATTCGTCGTTAATATTAAACTTGATGTCTTTATACAATATACAAAATATTCATCCAAAGGCATTTTTTGCTATTGTTGTTGTGAAGTGCTGTCAAGTTCATTCCTACCCATAGCGACCCTGTTCAGGGTTTCTGAGGAGCAGCTGGTGAGCTTGAACTGCCGACCATTTTGCTATTAGCTGTGAGTAAAATTCAGACTAGGCTAAAACAGAAGGTGTATATTTAAAGGATTCTAATTCAGTTTTGTAACTAGAGGTTAAAAGATTGCAAAATAAATAAATAAAATTACTTTATCACACAAACTCTTTAAAGTACAGAATATGGCACAGTTCTAAGGGCAACCCCAGACATAAAACACAGTGTCTTGAGTGAGGGTTTTGATACTCAGTGCTTTAAGAGAAGAAGTATGAAAGAGGATAGAAGCGAAGGGGCAAGAGAAAGGCAAATGCATGTCTGATTTGCCATTTTAAGGAAGAACAGGCTCTCTGTTCTCCTCAGCTTTCCCCTGGGGAACTCACACTGGAGAGAGGCCAGGAAATATCTTGCGCAGGCAGGTGCCAATGTGAGCCAGCACTTCAGTCACGTCCTCGGGCGATGTCATCTTGATGGAGAGGCTGCACTTCTCAGTTTCCACAACCATCTGCAAGAACCGGAAATGGGCACTTCTTAATAATGAGACCAATGCCTTCCATTTCCAATTTTATAAATTATATACATGATATCGTCACACAGATACAGCCACATTCTAAAGTGTTGTTAAGTGCCAACGAGTCCATTCTGACTCATAGCAACCCCATATAGGGTTTCTGAAGAGTGGCTGGTTAGCTTGAACCATTGCATTGACTTTGCAGTTCAAACAGACTTTGCAGTCCAGTGCATTAACCTACAGTGCCACACCAGGGCTCCACCTTCTAAAATAAGCATCTTTAAAATACTAATCTTGGAGGCAATGATGGGTCCGTGGTGGACTCCTGGTGTGGCGCTGCAGGATCAGCACTGGAGTGGCTGGTGAGTTTGAACCACTGACCCTGTAATGGAGTCACTATGAAACGGACAACAGTGACAGCAGCCGTAGTAAGAAATGGACTGGTATTGGCCATTTTGAATCAGGCAATCATGGTTTACTATGCTGGGAATGACAAAATTAAATCAGAATGATATCACATTTATCATTAAAAACACACAAACAAAAAACTTCAAGATCTATTTTGAACTATAAAACTGTCTGTGACAGGATAATATCCATATGCCTACAAGGAAGACCAGAGTCCTGGTGTGGTACTGTGGGCTAATGCATCAGACTGCCAAGTCATTTGAACTTAAAGGTCAGTGGTTCAAGTTCACCAGCTGCTCCTTGGAAACCCTAAACAGGGTCACTAGGGATCAGAATCAACTCAACAGTACTTAACAACAACATCAAGGAAGACCAGTTAATGACATTTAACAAAAACAATATGTGGTGAGAAAGGTTCAATTCCCAACCAAAGCAAAGTGCAAAGCCACCACCCATCTGTCAGTAAAGACTTGTATGTGTGTTTGATACTGAATAGGTCTTAGTAGAGGTTCTAGGTGAAGATGAACTAGAAAGAGAGGCCTGGCAATTTACTTCGGAATTATTAGCCAATGCAAACCCTATGGACCACAATGGCCTGAACCCCAACTGATCCTGGGGATAGTTCAGAGCTGGCTCCTTTTGTTGTTATTAGGTGTCGTCCACCCAGTCCAGACTCACAGCAACCCTGTATATGGTTTCTAAGGAGTGCCTGGTAGCTTTGAACCACTGCTCTTACAGTTAGCAGTCCAGTGTTAACCCTACAGTTCCAACCCAGGATGCTATATATTTCACTGCAATGACAATTCATTAAAATTTTTTGCCTGGTAGTAGAAGAAAAGTCAAAGTGAAGAGTTTCTGCTTCTTTCTGCTGGGGAAGGCTTATATGAAGGGAATAAAGTAATAAAATGCTTAGTGCTAGGTTTAGTTGAAGGAAAAAGCTCATTCCTACAATGAATTGCTGGAAAGTCCAAAACATCTATGAAAAAAAACTGGAATTGAGGTCACACATCTAGTCATCTAAGCAAGTATAAATCACCCTGAAAAAATGACAATTCACAAAAGAGACAATCAGCTAATTATGAATGCATTTCAAATAAAAAGAAAACAATTTCAGTCACTTCAAAATAAATGATACCTTATACATTGTTGTTAGGTGCCATCGAGTTGGTACCGACCCATAGCGACCTTATGCACAGGAGAATGAAACACT